TGAGACCATTACTCATGTTTACCTTGCGGACCTTGCCGCCATGGAAGTGGAGCACTTCCCATTGGGACCTCTTAAATCGCACTGGTTTTTCTTTCTATCCGTATTTGTTTGCGCGCGCATGGGTCTAGCAGATAATGACGATAAAGACTACAGTTGAATGCCAACCAGTAAAGAGTTTCATGCAACACAAAAAAAGAGGCTGCATAGCAGGAAGCGTGTGATGGCAATGACATGTTTATCAAGCGTACAGCCGAGTTTGGGATCAGAATCGGCTGGAATCAGTCTACAGTGCCAGGTGCATCAGGGCTTTTCAGGCGTCGCTAGTGGTTGCTCGGGAGTTGGTTCACTGGTAGCAGGTTTGACTGGGAGGAGACAAATGCTGACTTATACATCGACCTGCCCCTTAGAAGTCATTGTTGGCGAAATCGCATCAGGTAGAAATACCGCCGCCTTTCTGATCGCCTCAAAGGAACGCCTAGGAAGAACGGAATGCGCGCTGGCGCAATTCTCGATAAAGGGCTGGTCAGCGCCGGATGCTTGGAGCGTTATCCTTTTTATACATGACGGTCTTAAAAGAGGTAAACTTCGCTCGTGTGATATGACTGTTAGTGGGAAATGGCACAAAGAGTTAACGGAACCAAAAACCAAAAATGGCTGCAAACATTGCTTTCAGTGATGGGATATTTTCCTTTGTTTTTGCAGAAGTAAGAAACAAATTCTTAGGTAAAGTGTATAGGTGGTAGGAATCGTAGGGGCGGTCAACATCAGGAAGGTGCAGGCGATTGCAACCGATGGCGGCCCGTGTCGACGAAATGAGACCTTCTATTTATCACCCCCTCAGGGGCCCTTCGCCGCTATTTACACAGCTTCATAGTTGACAGTGTGATATCTGCTCTGTTTTGATCAAACGCAGAACTCTTTCTACCTGTTTTACCTTATTTGTTGTCATTTTCAGTTATTTTCATAAAATTCTTACCCAAAATATTGTTCATTAGTTTCACAAGGATGCTGGGTTGTGAATAAAACTTCCGCCCCAGACGGGACTCGAACCCGCACCTCTTAGTACTTACCGGGCAAGTGCGCTACAACTTACGTTATTGACACACAAACAAAAACAGGTTAAAACATTCAATAGTCTTCTTTTTCCTTTCCGAATGAGACCGAATAACTGTGCGATGAAATTTCGGAACCTGTACAGCTTTCAGTGGACATAAGAGCTGAGCTTTCAATCACAGGTCAACCTGAGCGGAGAAAAAATGTAATTAAAAATTAACCTATTTTCAACCGCCGCTATGCGTGCACGTTCGTACTTCTTCTTGTTTTATCTATCAAACAACCTTGTAGTATTTCTCGAACATTTTTATTCTGTATTATTTTTTGTTTTAAGCCATTTGTGTAGGCCATTTTCGCTTCCGAAAACAGTACATATGGAGATTTCGGAATTTATAAAAAAAATCCTAGAAAAAGTACTACTGTGTGCCGCTTAACGATAGGAAGGTCCTGAAAAAGGTGCATGCTGGCCTTGAGTGTAAGAGCTTATTAGCTCAAATAGACAATGTTTTGGAGGCTCATTGTTGTCGCCCACCTTTGAACTCTAAGATAAGACTCTCCCGAGAGAGTTCAAAGACTTGAAACATTTCGTCGAAAGAAAGGTTCCCGGATCTGGCTTGTTCTCTTTCACCGGGCTCGGAACACATGATATTATTCACGGTATAATATAACATATTGAACTGTTAAACGTTCTACAACTTGCCTATGTACGTTGTTATTCAACTATCGTTCCCCAGTAATCGCATGACTAAAACTGGAATTTTTTCTGAGACTTCAAATGATTATTATTGTACAAAACTGCAATATTCCAGCAATTTTAGTCTTGTTGTTTGTGTCTGCAATCCTTTTTGTAATTATACTGTATGTGAGTGAAATGCGTGGCGCAAAAAAGGATTTGAAAACGCCGAATGCCACATTCCTCACGTCTTTTTAGTGGTTTTTTAATCATCTAGTTTATCCCTTAATTAATCTTCATAAGATCACATGGTCAAATAAACGGTGAATGGCCCCAAAAATGTCATACCAATCTTATTTTCCTCATTTTTTGTGTGAACGAAACCAAAAAACCCCAACTAAAGTTGGCTCGGGGTTTTTTCTGTGCCCTTCTGACTTTTATGGTCAAATCCTTGTCGTCTTAAATTTGGAACTGTGCTTGAATGGCACAACCTAACCTCACTAAAAATTTGCTCCGAGTGTGAAATATGGTGACAGGGAAGTATTAGCAGATAAATGATACCGTATCTGCCTCCCCTCTTCTAAGGGCCCATGACCTGCCTTGTTCCTGTTCTTTGTTTCTTCTGTTCTCCCCTGCATGTTCACTGTCGCGTTCACTTTGAAAATTTCAAAAACATGTCAAAAAAATATGACAGAGCTAATCGCGTCGGGTAACAGCTTTTCATTGCACATTTTACTTCACGTCTTACTGTATATTTATTTTTCTGAATTACGTGATTGCATCTGTGCCATGCCTTATCCTGTGATTGACCAATAAA